AACGGTGTGTGCAATAAATTATTCTGGCAAATAAGATTTTCATTCTCAAAATTAAAACATCGAAATGACTCAATCATATTACACGGAATTAGTGGTATTGGGGGGAGTGTTGTTACATTTTAACGACGCTATAAAATTCAGAGATGGTTAAATTAATGTTTTATAATTCTCCATGGAGTTACACATGAAAGTAGACGTTTACGATTGAGGTAATAATGTAAATGAAAATATAATTCCGTCTCACGTGTGCACTGGTGAAGTTTTTCGAGGCAGTTTAAAGGGTAATCGTGCGCGTGAAAGAACGTTGAGTGCATATTGCATAATAATTAGCCGCCGCGGCAACGACCGTATGCCGCATTCGTGGGTATTTGTGTGTCTGTGTGATGCACTGGGCAAGTTCATTGCCAGTTACACACAGTGGAAATTCAGTCTGGCAGGCGGGGGAACTCTGGGAGAATATATCGACCGAGTGATATATTGCAACGGCAGTCGGTACCGGTATTCCAATGGTGTTTTTATGGAAATTTTTCGTTTATTGTCAATCGGATAACTAAAGTCGTTAAAACGATTTCAGGGAAAACATTACTTCAGGGGGGAAAATTAGAAATTGTTATTGTTGATGTATTTATTCAGCAACAAATTGATGGAACGTTAAAGAGTAATGACTTGAAGGATCACATAATGCGATTTTATGACGACCGTTCACTGCGAATAATTTTGTTGATGCGAAATCAATGATTTGAGGGATTATTTCACGTGATTTCGAATTGTTTTCGTCAAAGATAATGTTGACATTGAGAAAAAAAATTAGCCTCTTCCAAGTGAGAATGTTGGATAGAGTGGAACAGATTTACTTGAGGAAAATTGACCATCTTGATAAATGGAAATTTAATATCTTTAAAATTAAATGTTTGACAGGATCATCAGCAATATCCCTAGAAGAATTCGAACTGTTGGCAGGAAAAATATAATCTATTGAAGAAAAATATCTAACGATTATTAAACAAGCAGGAATTGCTTTTAAAAAAATTATTGCATCGAGAGAATTAATTCTTAAATTATTCTTGTGAAAGATATTTCGCAAAAATAATTTGTATTTTTGCCAGAAATACTGTACACTGTTAGACAATTTTGAATGAAATTCCCGGTACAATCTCTGGAAATTTCTGTCAAAATACAGTTCCATTGAAATTTCGAGGAATTTCTTAATTAAGAGTTTACAATTTAATGAGAAATCATGAAAACTGATAGAAATCCGGAAAATTCTAGTGAAGATATGAGAAGCTACATCGTTCGTATTGTCGAAGATTCTCGATATAATTCTCTTCTGATTGGCCCACGGAACTTTCATAATACCCACTCCCACTATACTAGATTAATTTGAATGATGCTAAAGAGCCTTATCACTCAATAATTTTTTTTTTATCGTAACACTCAATAATTGAAACAAAATAATTTGTTCCGTCGTCGAAAAATTTTCACCTTCTGAATGAACGAAATAAATCATTCTCTCTATAATCGCCCTTTGGACGCGTCTGGCGTTTGATAAAAAGTAACAGTTTCACCCAAAAATTTTCAAAGCCACCGTTCACGTTCACCTTGAGAACATTGGGCTGTTTGTTTCAATGGCCACGACGCCCTGCATCATTCAATGGACCCCAACCCGCACAGTCAATCCCCAGGGAGTCTACCTCTTTTTTCCTCCTTTAACCCCAGGAACTCCACTTCTCCTCCAGACTCTTGATGTGTCCACAAGCCCGAGGGATTATTATTGCGAAAGCATTTTACCGTGAAGAAAAATATGCCCAGAGGGGGAATATCGTCGGGGAGTCACTCGTTTCATAAAATAAAAATATCGGAGAACTATTCACTCTGATTGGCCAATTTCTTCATTCCCCCTTTTTTATTCATCGACAAGTGCAGCATTCTTGATGATTTGGAAATGGCCGATTGAATGAACCTCAGCTCCCTGTGGGTATTTGGGTGCAGTTGACAGAAATATTTCGTCAATCACTCCTTCAGTTGTTGAATAGAGGGGAATGAAGGCGATTTTTCGAGCTAATGGGCCATTTTTTCTCTTATTTATCGTGCGGAGAACGAATGTTGGGGTACACGTGTGCTTCAGTCGAGAGTTAAGTGGATGGTGTGTACTGACGTGCAGACGCTGGGAGTAAGCAGGTATATTTCAAATGTTGTCAGGAGCAGAGTCGGAGAAAAATGGGAAGGTTTCAGGGGAATCGATTTGGCGTCTTTCAAGGAGTGTAACTTACTTCACACTAACTTCTGCACATGCGTGTCATCGGGGGTTGGAATCGATTCGATACGAAGTGTTTTTGGCATCTATGATTGACTGAATTCACGAGTTAAAAAATGGAAAATTGGAGGAACTGTAAAGTGATTTGACCATTTGACATATAGATTCAACCATTTTCAATCATCAAATTTGGCAATTAAATTTGCGTGAGAACAATTGAAAAAAAAATTATGAATATTCAGCGTCATTCAAATTACATTTTGCACAGAGTTATTATTTTTTTAAGCATTCGATGTTTACAAATTAATAATTGAAATTGTTTTGGAAACCTAATTTTTTTATTATTAGGTATGAAATCGATTCCTGGTAAAATTCTGCATTTGTTATGATTTCGAACAAATGATTCTTATGGTAGAAAATTGGCTGTATATAAATTATTTGTAAAGAATGCATGTAATTTAAAAAATTGCAATTTTTTAATTCAATTCAATTTCAATTCTTTATTTCCTTGATGTTACAAAAGTTTTTCTTTGTTTGATATCAACACATGCCTCAAAATTTTTAATTATTTCATTAAGTCTCCTCCAAAAATAAAGTTCCTAATTTTTTTCCGAATTTTTAAATGTTTTCTGACGGTTCAATATCGAAAACAGAAATTTCTGAATAAAGATTTCCTATCGGTTAAAATTCAGATAAGGAAAATAATCCAGGTGAATGTACCTTGTGCTTCAAAATTTGTAAAGAATTACCCTCAAGTTTTCCCAAATATCAACGAGTCAGGAAAGCTTGGCATGTAATGCTTTTGCAAAAGTGCATTGTTTGTTATAATTTTTTGGACATAATTCATAAGAAATTGTCCATGCACAGCCCAAGGCAGCCCACCCACCCATTCCCCGTTCCCATGTGAAAATCAGTCGACATCTTGAACGCACAAGCGTGCGATATCCGTCTATTGCCTCCCGTGTGCACGCTGAATATACAAATTAACCCTATTATTCCAGTACAATCTCAGTCGCTGGCAATTCTCTCTCCTCGTTGGTCCATAAATTTTCATCACAAGGTGTATCAAGCGTGTATCTTTAACACTACTATTTTCCATTTGATAAATTAGTCCGGGGCCTTTCGCATTATCCTGGTGGGGAAAGCCCGTGATTATCGTGTTGTAATTTAGGATAGTGAGTCGATTTCAGTGTCGTTGGGTGTCGTAAAAATTGATCGCATGGGAATGTAGATGATGGGTGGCTTTATCTCACGGTTTAATACATGATTAGACTTATCTTCGATTATCGAACGAGCAGGAATTGCTTTTAGAAAAATGTTTGACAAAGACGACTTGTATTTTCCCAGAAATACTGTACACTGTTAGACAATTTTGACTGAAATTCCCGGTACAATCTCTGGAAATTTCTGTCAAGATCCAGTTCTACTGAAATTTCGAGGAATTTCTCAATTGAGAATACACAATTTAATGGAAAATCAGAAAAATTCTAGTGAAGATTGTTTCAAATCTCCAATTAATTAAAAATTCAACCTAATTTCGTACTAAATATTCACGTTGTAATTGAAAATTCACGTTAGTGGGGGAATTTTTGTCCTTCTACTGCTAAAAAATTTGGAATTGCATCGAATTTTTAATAAAAGGTAACATTTCATGATTTTCTTCCCTACATCAAATTTAATGTCGCTCTCCTGAAAATTACTACAAAACAATAATCCATGATTTCTTCAAATTTCAAAAATTATTTCACCACATTTCTTCATTTTAAGATTAGCCATAGCTTTTTAATTACTCGTTATTTTTGGGAATGTTTGAACTAATAAAATACTTGTTCTTCTTTACTTCTGGTCTCACATTTCTCGACTTATTCCCTACTGAAAAATATTTCATGCATTCATTGAAAAAAAAAACTTTTGCCAGGGAATTATTTTCTTGGGAGAAGAATTCATGTTTTTCGAAGCGTATTTTTCCAGGCCAGGCATTCCCAGGTGGTCCAAGTACATCTCCAAATATTACAATTATTTTGAATTATGGGACGATTGCTACATATGACATTGAATGCGTGATTCCAAATGATTGTACATGAGAAAATGTCGAATTAAAAAAAATTGAAAAATAATGAAAGGTGTTCACTTCCTTATTATAGAAATAGGCCCTTGAAAAAATAAATTCTTCCCCCAAAAAAATTATTTTTTCGCGAAAGTAATTTTTTTCTCATTGTTGGATTTTTTTAACGCACTAAAATTAAAGGTTTAATTTCGAAAAAAATTATTAACGAATGAGATCACTCTGATTGCCTCGTATTTCCCTCGATAAAAACGTCACTGCTCTATCTGCATTTTATTACCCATCATTTGACTATTTCCACCCTCCGCCATAATGACTCGAAGCGTATAAACGCCGAGGGCCGTAACAGGAGTACGGAGGGTGTCCCATCCCCTCCAGAAAAGAACTCCATCGACCATTGAGGGTGAAGAGTAGCTCGAACGGTCCTCCACAAGCGGTAAACACTTATCCACCGTCGTATTTCATCGGGTAAATCGGTGTAACTCCCCGAGACCCATGAAATCGCTGGCTCACAGGGGAAAGCCAACGTACATTCTTCACTTTCACCATCCGCAAAATGATAAATGTAACTGATGAAAAATTAATTATTTTCATTTTCAATTGAAAATGAGAAGCAATTAAATTGGAATGCAAGTTTTTAATTAATGGTGTTGATTGTTTTTTTTTTAAATCTCATTGCAGAGTTTCTTGGAGGCCAATTCCAAGTGCTGGTGGAATGCAGCGTTGGTGGATGCTACGAGGCAATTAAGGTACAAGGGACATGTGTCACCGGGTGTTTTGATGGTGGGGGGTCCGCCGTGTGCATTGGAAGTACTGCGGGCAGCGTGGTCGCGTAATGTACTCAGACCACCGGCTGATCATGCCATCACGTGTCTCGGTAAGTCACAACTGGAGTTTTCATTGTTGGAGTTTTGATTTTCGCGCAATACAAAACAATTCAGAGTTCTGATTTTGGAAAAATTGAACGATTTCAGAAGAAAATCTCAATTGAAAAGTAGGGTTCAAATTCGTGTTCATAGGTCGGCATCAATCATTAATTTAGTGATATTATGAGACGCTGCACCTTACAATAATTAAGATTTACTCATCTTATCTTATATTTACTAATAATGAAGAAATTGGTGAGTAATATCAACAATTGGCTCCTTCAAAATTTAAATTTAATTAAAAATTATGACTATGCCGATGTCTGTTCATATTTAATTAAAAAATTCTGGACCATGTTCCTTGGAATGTGAATGAATGAATTTTAGAGCGGAACGAATTTTCTCAATTCAAGTAGCAAAATTTTCACGAAATAATAAAAAACTGGAAGGAATACACTTTGGGATTAATTAAACATCAATTCAACATCAATTGACTCACGTTGTATACTTTTCTTAATGAAGGAGTTTACAATTACATTACGAGTAGATTACTTGTAATTCAGAATATAAATCATCAATTTAAAACCCCAAATATTTCAAATTAATCACACAATTACTCTAAATACGGGTTAATTGCTAGGTTTAAGCAAAAAATTACTAAGAATGGGCACTTTTTTATGATCTCCGAGGAAAATCTTGTCAGAATAAGTGGAAATATTACATATTCCCAGGATTGTTCATTCACTAGATTCTATCAAAACCGAGTTTCAAAATCCAGACATTTCTACTGAGAATTGAAAGTTTCCCTGATAAAATCAAACGGATAAATATTATTATGATTGTAAAAAAGAAAAGGATTATATCAACAATAAAATTAATCGTACCTTTTGAAAGTATATGACCCATTGTAAAAATAAAGGTGGAGAAAATTTTCCCATGAAAATGTCCATAAATCGATGAAAGAAAGATGAGAAGAAGAAGTGTCCGAGATTCATTTTTATTTCTCTGTGACACTTTTTCTCTTGCGCAAGTACTATCGATTCGTGGTGGCACACTAATTCCGCACCTACGTAGAAAACCACCTTATCAAGCAGTCAGAGAGTCAACACTCGGTTTCATCTCTTCATTCATCCACCCACGTCCATACCCTCCAGACAAATTCTCACTCGTTAACACGAATTTTAAAACCCAACGTATTCCCATTCTTTCTTTTTTAATCTTCTCAAACACCACCCCGTGAAGTTTTAAAGCCGAGCATAATATTAATTACGAAAAATACCAACTGTAACTTGAGTGTTGGTTTGAGCTCGACAACAAACTCCGACGAATCGTGAAACTCTGTAATTAACCTCGTTACTTTAACATCTCCTTATCGACTCTATGTTATAAATTACTCCCTGATACATACGTCATACTTTCTATTCAAATAAACGTTGCCAGTGTCAATAAAAAAAATGTTTCACTCGTCGTAAATACTTGGGTGATGTTGGGAGGCTGGAAGTGGAGGAGAGCGAGGAAGCCTGGAAGAATTGAGAAATTTATGAAATTTTTAGAGACTAATTTGTTCGAGAAGTTTTTTTTTAACGAGAAGTGAATGCCCGAACAAATAAACGGAATATTTTGAGGGGAAAATTGAAAAACAGGGAGATTTGAGCAGAATAAAAAAGATGGCGCCCTCTGTATTTTTGAAATTGCAATTGAAAGAGTTGTCATTAAACAAAATACAATTTGTGCTGTGATCTAGGGGGATAAAAATCCTGAAAACATGTTGAATTTTACTCATTTTTAAAATTGGATGAATTAAGTTATAATTCTCTTTAATTTTTGCTTAAATCTGGTGTAATTGGACATCAATTAATACACATTTTCGGATATTTTAGAAATTTTGCTGCTTGAATTCCGAACACTTGTATTTTCAAGTTAAGAACATTCTCGTTCTTCAAGTTTTTGGTTTTCTACTTTTTAAATTGATCTACTTTCGTTAATTAATATATTTCCTTTGCTTTTAAATTAGGTGAAAAATTTATTATAATTCCTAGAAATGCATTTCGACAATTGACATGATCTTAACATCTGTACTTTGACATCGCTACCTTTATTTTGAAAACTCGTAACTTTTATTCTCCGGAAAATTGCGCGAAAAATCTCCTCCATGAAAAACCCACCGAAATGCGCATAAACTCGCCCATCGCGTAATGAGCCGTCTGGACACGCGAGGCCACTCATCCGCAGAGCCTCTTCTGTATTTCCCTCTGACTGAATTGCCCGACGGGTATTCACAACCGAGTTTCCCCGTTGAATCGACTAATCTGGAGATGCGGGCAATGCCAGCATCAATGCCGGGACGACTCATTTGTCTTGATACACTGCACTTCCGTTTCATCCACAGTCTTCGCCTCGCTGTTTACCCCACGCATTCATCACTGACAGCACAATCTAATCCATCGTTCTCCCCCTTCATCATTGATTATTTTTTTATTGATTGATGAGAGGGTCTAGACGCCCGAAAATCCATCACTTCATCAGCCTCAACTCAATAGAAAATGTCAAAAAATCTTTCACCTACTGATGGATTCATTCAACTACACGATGTAAAAAATTATCTAGCAAATCGCGACATATCGCGCAAATTTTACTGTATAAAAGGTAATCGTGGAGTGAAATTATAATTCATAGAAAAATTATTCGGTAAAAAAAATACATTTATGGATGCAAAAATTACTGTTCTCTGCACAGCAAAATCTCCCGCGCTTGGGGAGTGAGATTGAATGCGATTTACGGGGGAAAGTTATAAAATTTCAGATTTCACTGAAAATTCAATGAAGAATTTCTCAACCTATTGGAATTTTCAATGAAATAGTGAATATTTAGAGCTGAATTACGATGAATTTTCAATTAATTGAAAATTCAAGAATACATTTACTGAATTTTCCTGATTTCAATGCATTTTCAAGGAATAATTGAATTGAAATTTGCCGCTCTCCTTGATTTTTCCTTAAAATTTTGAATTTTCAATGACGAAATTCTTTTAAATTTCCGTCGAATTAAAATGTTATGAAAATTTCCAAAAAGTGGACCGGAAATATTCAACACTGTACCGAGTTCGTTAAAAAATGATTCTCCGGCACAGAAAAATCCCTACGCATCCATGACGATTACGCAATATTGAAAAATTATTTACGTTCATGTGATAATTTTTGATGGAATAAATAATAAATTTTAGTTTCGACGCAAATTACCCAGAAGAATGATTTATTTGAATCAAATTAATTTCTTCTTTGAACTAAATAAATATTCATTTCAAGCGAATAAATTGTTTATTTAATATAATTAAATCCATTTTCTTGAAACAGGTAAACAAGTTTATTCATTTGTAATAAAAATATTCTGGAAATAAGTAAAAACCTTTGTATTAAAGATTCTTATTTGATTCACAAGAACCATTTTTCTAAGTGTAAATTTAGTAGATTTTTCTGAGTCCGCGGAGAAGAATTCACTATTCGCCTCGCACTTTCTGCCACGATATAGAGTGGAAAAGACCCAGAAACGGATTTCGCTCCGCGATCACTTGATTTCTTTGGTAATTTTTCCCAACGTTTTTCTCCGTATGTTATTACAACTTATGAACGCATGATTGTAGCTACCGTGTGGGGAAAAGTTGAATGACATAAATCACCGGGTCATGGTGGCTAGCGAGATTGATTAAGTTGGTAATGCGACAAGAGGCGCATTTCCCGTTTATAATAGCTTGAGCCAACGGGTATCCTTGGCACACTCGAGTAGCACACATAGGCTTAACTTGGGGATCTCCTCGCATTGCCATTAATATCGTTATCTCACGTGTGTGAAACATCACACCTGAGTACATTATAGTGAGCCACCTCCGGTACAACAATTAACTCGAGCTAAACTACTACTTATGGTTGGGTCTTTATGGCCGAACGTCAGTGCGTTCATCGACTCTCGTTATCGGATTTAATTGCCAGGCAATTTGTCATCGCTGTGGTCAACTGCGGAATCGTGAGCGGTCGGTTTTTCTAATATACAGGATGAAATTGGGAGATTATTTCGCTGCACCATTCACCGATTTATCACGGTGATAAATCCGTACTCAAAGAACATTGGATTACAAAAATTTTTATTAAAAAAATTAATTTTTAAGTTGATTCTCGATTATGAGCCCAACGAATTGAGTTGTTTCATGGCCGTATCGACCTACCCAAAGAAATGAGGTACTAAATTTCAAAAAAATTTGAATTTTATGGACAGTTAAGTAGTAATTTTCAGGAAAAAGAATTAAATCTCAGATTTCATTGAAAATTCTGCCAATTGCCTTGAATTTTTTAAGTGTAACTTGCAACTGCTATTGTTTTTCCATAACATTTTTAATTTTCAACAACGGAATTCCTGGAAATTTTAGTGAAATTATTAAATGATAAAATTTTCAAAAAACAGGACCAGAAATTTCAACCAAAAATTTTTAACAGTGCATTCGAATCAAATGGATCTATTCAACAAGAAATTTCTCATTAATTTTAACGAAAATGTTTTAATTATCTAAACTGAATAATTAGTTCATTCCAAATAAATTCCCTTCATTTATTCATGAAGAGAGATTATTTAAGTAAAAGTCAGATACACGAAATGTATGTTTCCTTATTCAAAGAAACATTTGTTCACACTATATATTAGAATTTAGCCGGGAACGACTTGAATCATAATTTTTTTATGTAATAAATTAATTTCTGTTTAAAGAATGAGATTTTCAGAATCAAAACAATTCCCTTCATCTATTCATAAAGAGAGATTGTTTAAATGAAAGTCAGATATGCAAAATGTAATTGAGATGATGTTTATCATGTCGTGATTTCTCTCTTTCTAGCCCGTAGATTACTTTAATGGCCCAGAGAATCTTTCAATTCATTGCACTATTCCACTCAACCGGAATGCCAATTTTTCCTCATTCCATGAGATTCCACAACAGAAGTATCGCCTAGCCCTCGGGTGTTCC